TAAAGGTTGTTTAACCCTTTTTTTTACACTGATCTACTCGAATCCAATTACACGAAAGAAGTCCAGTATTTCGGGGCATCGACTGTACGTCACTAAAATCTTAACTCCGAGCGTGTAATCCGAGGAAGAAGTTATCTTTCGGCATTAGTAATTATTCCTTCTAGTTTCACTGTGAAACTATGCACGACATAAAAATGCTTTTTTAAATAAAAGTAGATATAATATAAAATATGTAGATATTAACACTGAATTGCCGATATGTTATCAATACTTTATCAGCGAATTAGGAACAGTCTTCGCGTATACATACAGTATGAACGCCATTCTGTACACACATGAAATGGATATTCAGTAAGATCCTGTTTTTCTTTTTCTCGGTCAATGTGTCTACCATGAGTTTACTTTCACAGTTGTCGCTATAGTCGAATCAAAATAGCTTAGTGACACGTCCCATGTATTAATTAATATTGCTAGGTATATTAGGTATTAATAGTGTACCAATTTAATATTATTAAATGATCTCTAGCGGATCTCTATCTGATTACGTGCAGGCTAAAGTTAAGTGAAAAAATTTACAGGTAAGTGTTAAGTATAAGAAATTTTAAAGATCCGCAATGAAGATCATCGTGCATTTTTTAATATTTAGTGAATAACAATCATACCTTGATTACTTGATTACTTCTTAATCATTTAAAAAATATGTTATTTATAATTGTAAGGTCTTCGCGATTGTAACACATAGATAGGAAATGAAACTCTTTTCCGGATCTAAATCTTGTAAAAAGCCGTAGCCTAATGGTTTGACCTACCGCTTCTCCAGCAGAGGGTCGTGGGTTCGAATCCGGGCTCGCACCTACGCGTTTCTCGGAATTTATGTGCGAAATTTAATTTGAAATTTACCATGAGCTTTCCAATGAGGGAAAACATCGTGATGAAACTTGCACGTCGAAGAAGATTCAAGAGAAAAAACCTGTGCCCAGCAGTGAAACATATAAGTGGGTTGTTGATGATGATGAAATCGTGTGCATTTGTTTTTTCTTTGTCCTTCATAGGTCCCATGATCACAGCTGAATGTCAGCTTAGTAGCTGGAGATGGCTAAGGCAGTGATTGTATCAACACTGCACTAGCTTCCTTCACATTCGTATTCCACTTTTCATTTAAATCAGGTGGAGTGGAGTGTGGAGTCATCTGCCTGTCAGGTATAAAAAAAGAAAAAGCTTACAGCCAGAATGACATGCGAAAAAATAGGTTCATTTCCCATATTTGGACGTAGTTAAACAAAAAGGATCCAATCCACATCCAGTCACTTTCGAGATATGGCAGTTTGTTTCAAACTCTTGTTTTATTTTCAAAACTTATAATGTCATGTAACTCCAGAGATATTTATTTATGTCTATATGTTGGATTTTTTGTTGATCTTCGAGGTTAGACTTTGGAAACCGTTTTGTACATATAACTCATTTTTTGATAATTTTATGGATTGGATCAATAATTATTATTTTGCTTGCTAGATAATGTTTACAGTACCCGACGTTGCGACTACTTGTCTTAGAAGACCCGCTCTTCCATATAACGTTATTGTATATCAGTAAATAAAGATATGAAATATGAATTTACAAATGCAGTGGAAAATAAAACTGAAATACATGTGTGTATTTGTGTGTGCGCGTGCGTGCATGCGTGCATGCTCTGTTGTATTTTCTCTTCACGTACCATCGAGTTCATGGTTCCTTAAAAATAATTTCACTAACAGATGTTCCTGTACTTTATGGGACATCACTAGTTTAAAGAAAATTATATAAGGTTACGGCTTATATTACGTATTACAAATATCACAATTAATTGCAATTCTAATACAGTTATAAAATTAAAGTATGTTCTGTTGTATTTAACCGCGGCAAACACGTTCTTGATGGTTATAGATTAGATTAATTAAATAATTATTTGTTTTCTATTTTTACAATGTTCAATCGCCGCGTTCCTATATTTCGTGTTTGTTATTAGCATTACACAAACTGAAATTTTGGGTCTTTTATCAGACGCCATTTCATTCAGTCATTTTGTAAGCAAAGCAATTTAATAAATACTGTGGAACAGAACTGTAAAACATATTTACATTTTGTAATTTTTATTCGTAGTACTTTTATAAATTCAGTGATTTTTTTTATCTTTACATACATTATCTAATTCAAAAACTTACACTATAAAAAACCTAAAAAAACAGAGCTTCCAGACATTAAGTGCAAACTTTTTTTAAGTAATAACAATACCACGGGCTTAAACGATGAAAAAAGACCATGGGTCATTTATAAATGTCATTTGTCATAGATTCTCACGATGTTCTTCTTAGTGATTGGTTGACTGAAGAAAAAAGTTTACGATCATTGCTTCTTTGTAATTTTTTTTTCTAATTCTAAATAAAACGAAGTTATAGCTGTCAAAGTCACCTTGCTGTCTTGTATCGGACTATGGCGACTACGTAAAATATTTATATAATTATTATCTTAATTATTATAATATTATTTATATTTATATGTTATTTCTTCTTGTAACCGCTAGAAGCGCTGTACAATGTGTCGCACAAAATTGTTAAAGAAAATGTTTAACGTTGTAATGAAGTTTTATTGAAAACGTTAACAAATACATAGTTACGTTGGCAAAGAAAGAAAGAAAATACATTCACCACAAACGACACAACAAAAAAAAGAAACAAAATATATTCAAAACATTCAAACTTAAAACGTAAATAAATAGTTACTAAACAAAACGAAAAACAAAAATAAGTATAAGGGCACTAAATACATAAAGATACTTTGTATGGTGCCACAAACAAAAGGGTCACTAATCCAATATTTACTGGTCATACGGTTTTGAAATAATCTGGTTATTTATGTTTATCATTACATGCACTATTCGACTCTAATATGGTCGCAAGGAACACGACAACTTAAAATATGGATCCAGGTGGCTTCACCAGAATTTCCGACTCTTGACAGGTTCTTAAAAACTGTCAAAAGTTTTATTAGATGCGGAATAAGGGTAACAATGTGCGGGTTCAAAAAATGTACAAAAAGTAAAAGTTTTATTTAAAAGTGTTCAGCAAAAAGAAACAGACACAGCTACATCAGTTCTTAACCAAATTTGATAGTTGATTGCGCGTCCCTCAGTGTCTTTATTAGCGATAACACAATGTAAACAAAACTATTTTTTTATCTACGAACATTGCAGTCAAAATTATCCAATCTCATTCCTTTTCCTAATAAATCTAAGAGAGATTATGTCTCCCTGAAGAATTCATTCGTCTATAAAAGTATAACGAGCGTGACCAGTGGTTTCAACGGATTGAGTTTGATATAGATGATGTGAGCGGCAATTCTTTGCAGGCCTATAAAAATGTTACGAGGTGCTCCAGGTTCGTTGCGAATCACTGCTGGTGAAGCGTCAATAGGGATGCGGACATAATATTTTTATGCCGGCACTGGGCGTTGCAGCTGCTTGATTTCATAAACTACCCGCCTACAAAACCAGCACACGTGTGGCACTCGTCAATTTTAAATTACAGTACCGGCACGCTATGATGGCCGTTTTGACAGATGGTGAGGTCAAATCTCAATTCATTATCGAAAAAAATATAATCAAATGCGAGTCGCGTCTGTAAGTTTTTAGATGTATTACAAGTATTGCAAGGTGAAGCAGATTAGAAAGTTTTAACAAAACGAAAATAATAATGTTTACTTAGTATATCGTCAATTCGTAACTGCTTAGTTTTGCAGTTTGCCGGAGGTAGAAGTTGTGCCGGACAGCGATCCCATATTCATATTCATGTTTAAAAGTAGCGAATTTCAAAAAACAAATGCCGAGTTGTGTCGTAAAATTATACATCCATAAATTTTACTGCACGTCACTGTTGACAACAATGTACATCAATTAGCTCCTTCAACGTAGTTATAAAATAATACGAAACTTGATGAGCGGACAAACGTCAAAACGGCCATCATAGCGTGCCGGTACTATAGTCTCTCAGTTTAATAGGTATTACTAATATATATTTTGCGAAATGTTAGAGTTCGTTCGTTTATAGCAGTTCAGTTCCTTGTGTAAGAGTTAATTTAGGGAAGTACTGCCACCTTACCTATTTCTGCCGCTAAGCAGTAATGTGCGAAATACTGCGTCCCAATTTTAAAGGTGGTGCTGGTGAAATTACAGGCACATGTCAATTTATGTTTCAGGGTGACGGGCGTATCGCCAGTGCCCCTCAGATTTTTGCGGTTTAAAGCTCTGAGTTGCACTGCAACTACTATGGACAGGCGGTTCGCTAACCACCAGGCGTACGAGTTGATCGTCTCGTCACTTGGTATTATGAAAAAAAAAATGGTTATAACGCTTTTTCTGATAATTAATATTCACTTAATGCGATTCCGTAACTCCTTAATACATGTGTAATTTAATTAGCTCTGTCCATACAGCATATACTGTATACCAATCTCCATAGATAACAGAAGCTGTGGCATAACGAAGAGACTAGCAATTGCTAAGGAACTATGGTAAAACAATGTTGTATTAGTATAGTGACACCAGTATGAGTAACGCCATAATGTGAGGCAAAATGCAGTGCCAGCAACTGCTACGAACAAGCGTGTCTCTTTCCACAAGGCGCGCGACTAAACGACTAAGTCGTCCCGGCACTTGATATCATAACCTCCTAAGGCCGTGTGTACATTGAAATGTTCATAATAGGTGAAGTAATTCTGACATATTATTCATGATTACGTATATTATACCGCATTCAAATAAAGCGCTGTATATTCTTTATGACCATAGATAGGGTATCTAGAAGAATGCGTTTTTCATACAAAATTCGGGGCATACTTGCTTAGGCCTGAAGCATAATTACATTTACTACCTTTTCATGAACATTGAGCGATTAGCGCTTTTCCCATTCTTTTTTGCTAGGTCTTAGGAGTATAAATAAAATCGTCCGAAATTCAAAATAACCAACCTGATAAAAAGTATATTAACACTGTAATGCGGTGTCTCAGTCTGTGATATTTCAGGCTGCGTGTGGTTGTAGTAGTTTCTCGCGTGCGAGGCAGCCGCAATGGCGGCTAGCCGGTGCGAGCTGCCCATGGCCCAGCCGAGCGGGCTACGCTGCGCACCAACTGTGGCCAGCCCCGCCACCAGCACCCAGCGGTACCCCGAAGCCACCACCACACAGCACGGCGCCGCTGGCGCGACTACCTTCTCCAAACCCTCGCAAAGGGTAAAACTTTATTTCCACTACCTCCTTTCCAAATAGCTAGTCCTAAACCCAAATTTTATCAGCTAGGCTTCCCTTTGACACGCAGGCTCACTAGGCACATCTGAAACAAAATTGAAAGCTTGTAAAACGCTGCAATGTTTCGCTGAGCTATTATGCATTCAGAAACTTAATTTCAATTAGGGTGATTAAATTTAGTCCAATTGAATTTCAAAAAGCATTTCGCGGACGAAATTGGTCGTTTGAGCGTATTTCAATGTTGAATGGCGCGTGATCTAACTGTAAAAAGTTTAACTCAAAATTCTACGGGCGCGAGCGTCACGAAGAACAACAATAACTCTAATTAAATGGACTCGTAACAAATTTCAGACAAAATTAACCGAATTCGTAATTCATTAACGTTGTTGCTATTTCATACACTTGAATATTGATTTATCCATGTTTTAGACAATTTGTACAACGATACCTGCAACGATATCGTGATTTTTTACATTACTAAAAAATACACTGATATTTTTGAGTAATGTAAAAAATCACCCATCAATGCACGCGTAGCATTAAAACACTAAACTTTTGCTCTACAAGTTTCAGTCATTCAAAAACTCTTTTCTCAACCAAACTGTAACAGCTGTTGTCGCTCCAAATTTTATAGAAAACAAGTTATTTGTTTTAATACCGTGTCAAAATATTTCGGGCTAATAAAAAAGGCAATGTATCTGTTACAGTTATTTTTATATGTTGTCTATTATGGTTCATGATGACGAGATGAAGTAAGAACTGATATCTTTTACTATTTCTATTGCATCCAATACATAACAATACCATATATAATTATAACTTTTTTCTAAAAAATCGACCTTAAAACTTTGTGGAATGTATTTACTAAGTTTTATTTAAATCGGTTAACGAAAAGTGGGTGAAATCCATCAAACCGGATTCAACCCCAATTTGCCATCCTTACAGGTGGAATATTTCATTCAAATTTGAATTGTACGCCTTTTCTGACAAAAAAGGAATCCTCGAAATCGGTTCATAAAAGTCGGAGTAATCGCGTGACATACACACAAAAAGAGTACTAACAGTCGAATTGAGAACCTCCTCCTTTTTTTGAAGTCGGTTAAAATATGTATTGAATTTGCTTACAATCTACTTTTACTATTGGTAATCTGTTTGCTAATTCCAATATTTTTATTTTACAGAAACCAAAGACATTTAAAAAATTTCGAATTATTTATTGACGAAATTGTAATATTTATACCTAATAATAATATTATAATGCGTCCTGAATTTCTTTTTTGATACACACTTCCGTCTATTCACACACAAAACAAACTGAAAACCTTTGTTTATAATATATACGAATACTTCTTGTATCACCACACAGCCAATGTTTTAATACTAAAGAGATCAATTTAGCTTACGAAACAAAACTATCAAAAGTCAAAACAATTTTACGCCACGCGCTAAAACCGAACTTAGGAAAGGAAGCGACACAACCGACGCTTCCGAGACTTCGCGCCGGAATGAAGCCAGATCCAACCCTCGTGGAACATCCAATATTGGGACCGACTTCCCTCAACGATGCATGTTTAGTTACTAGCTACCACCCTAGTAGACATTACTGCGTATTGATTGAAAGATAAATGTAGCATACGGTACTTGATATTGATGAGTTTACACTTCGAAGCATTTCCTATGTACTTAATATCAATTGTTTTGTATTGTTAAGAGTTAAAACTATTTTAATCATCAAAGTACACCATTTGAAATATTAAGTGTAAATTATATACATTCCATTAGGAACGTGAACCATATACATTATGGAGTTACTTGGAACTCTGAAACCAGTAGTGTATTGACTGAAACGTTGGCGCAAAACATGCGCTCCCAGTCACTTTCCCGGCAGACTTCACTCCGAACACTCCGCAAGGTACGTGTGGTAGAAATTTATAATGGCTTTATAGGTATGTACTCGAAATTTTAGCTCGCGAACGTTTAAACTTTGGCGCCCAACGTGGGTCGCTTTTACCGCACAAATGTTTTGTCCATGTAGGTAGGTACAAAAGATACTTTTATTTCTCTTATTAAACCCTCGGTCACAAATATTTGCGATATTGCAAATTTAAATACTGTATTAATGTCGTGATGTTTACGACTGCTATTTTAGTAAAAATAACATATTAAATTTATAAATATAACAGCTATGTCAACTTCATTGCCTAAATATTCTTGTAGTCTATGGAAAAGTTTATAACTGAAAAGAAACTTGGCGCCCAACGTGGGCCTAGTGATTCTCTTCGAAAAGGTTTACGCTTTATTGTTTTATCGCTGAACCTCACGCAAACTCGCATTTCAACCCAAGGATTATATGTTAGTTCAAGGCCACGGGAAGGCCTTGTTTATTTGATACCTTGACGTCTATTTTTAGACAGAGACTTTCGAAGAGTTGGTCGTTGCCGACGTAACTATATTTATATCGAATTCTAAGGTTTGCCGCGTATACTATACGTTGGCAATAAACCTTTTTTTAAATAAAAAGAGCTCATTACTAGATCATACTTATATTGATCATTGACTTATATAGTTAAGCATGCAGATTTTTTAATAAATATCACTAAAATATCTATATGTATTATCACTTTTCTTTCTACACATATATTTTATTAGTACTTATTATGTAGTGTATTTGTTTAATTTTTATCCTAAGGTGGCCTGGAAAAAATTGCTACATATCAATAAGACCACCGGTTGCACGTTAACTTACTCATTTTTATACTTATGTTACTTTTCTGTGTTGCCATTATAATTTTAATAATCTTATATGCACATGAAGAATTTTCCATTAATTCATAAAATAAATAATACCGTTCGTACCGTGGCTTAGTTGGCGTAGCGTCTGGCACGACATAGATATGGCTAGGAGACATCGGTTCGAAGGAAGGTTCCATCTTTGTATTAATAATTATAACAAACTAATAAATAATTATATCGGAAATTAAACCATATTTCGCATCTGAATCCCGTATATATTTTTATTCAAACAAATCAAGGTTTACAGTACCCATGGTCACCGTGAAATTTTTAATTTAAAACGTTAATTATACCAACACAATGTAATATTAAACCGTCGTTATTTTTTTTTATTTTAACGGGTAGGATGTAGGACATATTTTTCTGTATCTAATCTACAATTGGAGAGGATGTGGGTTGTATTTTTCTGTATCTAATGGAGCAATAAACATGTTTGACGTAATTCCTCTTATGCCATTCTTCCATGAGGGGTGCGATATTACAAACTACCGTATTTATGGTGATTGATTGGAAGTAACTTGTGCTCTGTGCAACATTCTGAATATCATTTAATCATATTTATTTAAAAGACAATATCTTCCATTCTTACAATTTATTAAATGTACAAAGCAGGACATTCGGTAATATCATCTTTTTTATGAGACCAAATCACGGGACGAACTAGTCGCGCACCTGGTGGTAAGGGACACGCCTGTCCATAACAGTTACAACACTACTCAGTATTCTAAACCACAAAGATCTGAGGGGCACTGCCACTGCGCCCGTCACCCTGAGACATAAGTTGACAAGTCTCATGTGCCTGTAATTTCACCAGTCATCATTTTGAAATTGATTTGTGCAAAATGTAAACATGTTTGCGTAAAAAAAAAAGGGAATAAAGTGTGTATCTAGTGGGGAATAAAGACTAACGCATAAATATAAATTCCACAACACTGACTCGTCTTCATTTGAAGTTATATAGGTTGTGAAGTTTATATATATACGAGCCCTATACCCCACCTACGGTGGGGTCGGGCTTGGCCTGCGGCGCGTGGTCGGTTTCAGATTACAAGGTGTGTTTATGCTCTTCGTTGGCACAGTGTACGTATTAAGTACTATGTGCGCTTTATGAGGAGTTTCCAGATTTGATCCCTGATTTGAACCAAACAAATATTTTCAAATTGGTTCTGGTCAGGGTATTCTGGTTATTGCCCTCAGAATTATCGTTACTCTGGTACTCATGATGATGATTCTGCTAGTTGCATATTGGATGTAATTTTTTCCTTAGATGACTCAATGTACTCGTAATTTTCCATTTCCCCAATATCGGCCTTGGATATGACATTGATTTGCCAGTGTTGTGTTTGATGTTCCTTGATCTGCTTTTAATGTTCGTGTACATCTTATATTTTTACGTGTTCTAAGTACACTATTAGTTCGTTTTTTTCGGTCTTGCTCAGTCCTCGTTAGCTGTTAACGCCATTTTCATTATGATTATAATATTTAATAACATTCGTCAAATTGCACACAATCCAATACATTTAAAAGTATAGCTATACAAACAGAAAACATTATTAAACTCCTGGGTACGATGCTTCAGGGGATTATACTCGATATATTTTTTTACCTCTACTGTTTGTAATCGTCTATGCTTCTCTTCTCTAGCTTCTCTATAATATTAAGCCTACTTTATTTCCTTTCAAGTTCTTGGGTTTAAAAAAAGGCGCGGTAGCCTAATAGTTTGACCTACCGCCTCTCAGACAGAAGAAGTGGGTCCTCAACCCGCATTGGGCCAATGTGGCGGACTGTGGTCTAAACTCTCGCCTGAGAGGAGATCCGTGTTCAGCAGTAGGATGTAGAAATGGGTTGATGTTGTCGTCTTGAATTTTCATAATTGCTATACGTGTAAAAGGAAATTGACCATGAAACCTATAAACTGCTCGAAACTTTGGTTTGTTAATATCAATAATAATCCATATCTACATTACTCAAAAATAATGATTAATTAATCTATTTTCGAATCCATATCTCCTTCAAAAACCCATTACGAATTGCATTACCTAAAGTAGGTTCTTCAATA